ATGTTTCACAAAGGTGTTTTACTATAGCTTTAGAAAGAACCCCTGAAAATGCTGCTCTTATGTGCAATTGTATGCATACAACGGAGCTGGCTGGAAAATTTGGGGGAATTGTAGGTCAAATTAACATTTCCAAGGTTTACTACACACACAGCTGCAGCACAGTTACAGATATCTGAGTCACAGGCAATTGCAGAGCAGGCAAAAGTCCACAGGATTCCTCCACAAAGCTTGCAGTTTATTTGATTGTTTAGTGGTCCAATAAAAGAAATCACACACTCTTATATATGTGTGATTTTTGGGGTCCATACAACCTTTTCCTTTTTTGTCTCAGGACACAACTTTGTTATCCAGCTGTGACAGGGGACCAAAGTGTGTGTCCGGAGAGTAGAGATGGGTATGAATTGCCGGTTCAGCAGTTCATGCTGGTTTGTTTTTTTGTTCAAACAGGTGTTTGGCACTTCCCAGCCCTGCCTCCTCTGGCAGGCACCCACTCAGAGGCAGCATCCAGAGGAGGCAGGGCCAGAAAGCCATGGTGCTGCCTCTGAGTGGGCGCCCAAAGTGCCAAGCACCTGTTGAGATGAACAATAAATCAGCCAAATCAATGAATCACTGGTTGGTGCCCATCTCTACCAGAGAGAAAAAGGGAAATATAACTGTGTGCTATCTCAGAATCGTATTGCATGTCGGGAGGCTGGGGAACCTCCAGGTCCAGGGATATAGCAGTGGGTGAGTGATTCTCCATCCAGTTTGCAAGACTTTGTTACCTGTTACTTCAAATCAAGGATCAGAGATAAGAGGTTAGTTAATCCAGAAAGAAAGAACAAAGGAAATGCATTTAAGGAGCCATGGAAACTTATTAAACAAAGCATTATCCAGCTGATGGAGGAGAGGGATGTCAACTGCTTCAGCCTCCTTCTCAGAGTCTGGAAAAGTTACTTTCTAAACTACTGTTCCCCAAACCCCTCATCTCCTATGGCCGCCACCACAGAGTCACAATAGCCAGCTGAAAAGCCAGCAACCTAAGCCACCAGTGGAGTTTAAATGATACATAGACTGTCATAACAGGGTTTGGAAATTGTCAAGTTCTCCAGATGCTGTTTTCACTGCAGTTTTAACATCACCTTCCAGCATACTGAGAGCTGGTGGATCATAGGAATTATAGTGCAACAAATGAGAAGATGCACGGTCCCTGAGGATATAGGATCCAGTACCAAAGAGCTAAAAATACTGTAGTAGAAATTATCCAAACAGATACATTTGAAGGGAATACAGTACACTAAAATTTGGGATTGATTCATACAGGCAGAAGGAGGCTGTGCCCTCTGTTACAAAACAAGAGGCAGCAGGAGGCTGAAAAGCAGGTCACTATGCTCACTGTTGTCATTTGTTGAGAAAGTCACCTCAACCTGCTTAAAGCCTGACTCATCATGCAGGCAGCTGATGGTGCTGTGATGATGAGCTTATAAGTAACTACAGTTCCCTATCAATCTCTAAGTGAAAAAAAAATGAGGGGAATGCTTCTAGTGAGCCAGAGCTCTGAGGTCACTCCACCACATTAATACATTACTAGCTTCAGAGTCACACTGTCTCGTGGAAGTAGGACTTTAGAATTCTTCCCAGACTTCAGCACTCACGTGTAAAATATAAAAACACCAATCCCTTTATCTTGTAGGCAGGTGTCCTATCCATTAATAGGAAACGTAGTAGGAAAGTTTTTTTTTTCAGGAAGTATAGCCCTGTTAGTCTGTAGGATCAAAATAACACAACTTCTATCACCTGAATGGCTAATAAGTGACAACAGCACACTCAGAGTGCCTTATTTCATAATACAACAGAAGTGACACTTTTGAAAGCAATACTGTGGTGTCGAAATAAGAACATCCCTGGCATAAAAGAAGGTACTGTTTTATCACCACCGGGTTATTCTCAGTGTTTGTGATCTTTCACTGTTTAGCTGCAGATCGCCTGGACTGGATATTGCCACAGCAGTGACACACACAGTTTGTTGTAGACACTTATGAAAAGTATACTTTTTTGCTTTACCATATCAGTGTGAAGATACCAGATTTCATCTGATTTTCAAACCTAAGCAGGATTGGACCAGGTTAATATCTGGATGGGAGACCATGAAGTAAGGCACGTGATTGTACTCAGGAAGGGTCATGGCTCAGTAGCAGGACATAGTCCCTGGAGCTTCCTAGCCTTGTTCAGGTGTTCCCTGTTAGGTAAACTCATCATAAACATGGTTTCGTTGACCTTCCACACATGGAAGTAATGAATCTACAAAGGAAGTATGCACGGTCCCAACTCACACAGAGAGATCCTAAAACTGGAGATGCTCCCCCTCTTCACGTTCATTGTCTTCTCTGTGCAGAAAGGTGGCAAAAAGACAAAAGTAGGAGACAGGGCTAGAATGTTCCCCTCTGTCTGAGGTGAGTTCACCCGAATAAATACTATCTGGTGGCTTCAGTGTTCTTACTCCTGTAGAGCAGTGGTCCCCAACCTTGGGCCTCCAGATGTTCTTGGACTTCAACTCCCAGAAATCCTGGCCAGCCAAGGTGGTGGTGAAGGCTTCTGGGAGTTGTAGTCCAAGAACATCTGGAGGCCCAAGGTTGGGGACCACTGCTGTAGAGTATTGCTGCCAACATTAAAAGCATGGCCAGTGCTTTTCTACCAACATCCTAAGTGCTGTGTGACAGCCAATCATCAGATAAGTCTCACTTACTGCTGCATCTCTGCTCCGTGGAGCTGGGGGCTAGTAAACACCCAACTGGGTTTCTACCTGTCGTGTGTAATTAAAAGCATGAGCACAAGCCCTGTGAGAAAACAAAATAAACTCTAAACATTGAATTTTTAGACTCTTTTCCACCCTGGCTAGAAAGAGCTAGCCCATTTTTCTTCCATCTAGTGAATGCATACCATCCTGACAAAATCAAGTGGATGGGGCATAAATTCTGAGTCCATTAGACTCCCATATCCCTCCATTACTGTGTTGGCTGATGTTGATGACAAAGCATCTGGAGGGCACCAGGTTGCTTGATCAAATTTACTCCGCACCAATCCTTCTTTATATGACATATGTGCTTAAAGATTTCCATACATGCTGGATGGACCAATTTCTTTACACTGCTCAAATAACATCTGTGATAACTTCACATGCTCCTAAAGACTGTCATAGATAAGTTGTGAAAACATAACAATTAGAGACATGGATCTGCATTCCATTAACATCTTCTACATGATTAATGTATTACAGTTGCCTTGTGCAACATAGGATACACCAAGCTGAAAACAGCCCACTGGGGTTCAACAAATTGCCTAGTTCCATTGCTTCCTAAGCAGTACTAAAACATGAGAGCTTCCAGGTCATTGGCAGGTGAAAATCCACAACTGGGAGACTACATTTCGTTTTGATGAGTCATGTGCTCATAAGGAATATCATAAGGCTTATCAGAAATATCCCCACAAGGGGCAAATTTACCTTCAACAAATTAAACTTCTAGACAGATGAGACAGGTTTTGAAATAAGAAGGGCACATTGCAATTTGTATCCTGTAACAATACTGAGGGGCTCACCTTAATGTAATAATCTCAAAGAAGAAAGTGGTGTTAGTTTGATCCTTTGAAAGTTTATGATCAGTTTAATAATATGATTGTTTTCTACAACACGTATCATTCTATCCCATCCCCTGTAAACAGAACCAGTATGCATATAAACCTATGGCTTAAACATTATGTTCTGAGCATCTGAAAAAGTGGACTGTGTCCACGAAAGCTCATTCCAAACAACCCAAGTTAGCCTTATAGGTGCTACAAGACTGTCTATCATTTTTACTTCAGTACTGTCTTCAGTGAAATTCTCTGAAAACATCATTCAAGGTTTGGTTGTCAAATGTCATAGCAGAAGTGTCTTTTTCAGGACATTTCTGAAGGGAGACGGTAAGCATGTATGGCTGAAGTTGGCATTAATATTTCACAAGGGAACCAAAGACACAGTGAGACAAAATAGAAAGGTTGTAATTTTTCCCCAAGGAAAGGGTTCAGGAGAAAGGTTCAGATGTCATGCAGCTATTTAAGTCTTCCCATAGAATTGTGCAGTAGAGTGTGAAAGAATGATTAAACAGAAAGATTCAGGTGTTTAGGAGTCATACATGGAAAGAAAAAAGAAAAATTTGGAAGAAAATTACAGGATTCAATGGATGAATAAAACAAATATTTTTAGAGGTAAGTGCCCTAGTAGTTTCCAGACATTCCGATGATAACTTCAGCCCCAGACATCACAGGAATGCATTACTGCCTTTATTTCCTACCCTTCCTCCAAGAAACTCAGAAACGGAATATATAGTCCTTACATCCCCATTTTATCCCTGCACAACCCACCCTAGGTTGACAACCAGTGACTTGGCCAAGGTCTGAGATTCTACTAGGTAACACTGGGCTGGCCACTTTGTCTCACAGTCTAACCTAAATTACAAACTGAGGGTGTAGATAAAATGTGCATTGAAAATATAAGGCACTCTGAGTGGTTTGCAAACGAGCTATAATAGATCTATAACAAACATATCTATTTGACCATTATTACTAAATTATTACACAGCATTCTCCCTGCCAAATTACAGTTCAGAACAAACAACACCAATCTTTAGCCTCACTCACTTAAAAACTTCCCCTAATTTCCTGAGAAATGGCAATTTAAAGCTTAGGAGGGTGGCACCAAGCCGGCCATACCATATACAGGAAGAACGCCACACACAGAACTGTTTCCCCATTACTGTATATTGCATAACACTGTGAAAGGTTTTCTATAGACACTAATGTTCATATTTTAGTCTTAAGTGCTGCATTACAGACGCTCCACAAACAATTTTTAAAGCAGACCACTCAAAAAAGCTCTCATGAACAGCCCATTCCCGGTGGCTATATAGAGCTGAATGTTCAGACAACACTCCCCCAGCAACATTCTTCCCCTCTTGTCATACTTTCTGTTTCACTTAAATTACCTGAAGTTGTTTTAACCTCACTCCAGAAATTCGCAGACTTTGAAGCAGGCACTGCTTTAGGATCTAATTACTTACATGCTGCTGCTGCTGCCTACCGACACATCTTTCCTCAGCTCCACCCACTTACCTGATGTTTCCTGTTTTCTTCATACCTGAGCAAGGGGGAGGAGTCTGTACAACAAGCACCACCAGGTCGCTGCCTGTGAGAATGCTGGTCTTTCTTTCGTCAAAGAACTGTTAGCAGCTAGGAGTGGCTGAGCTGTGTCTTTTTGACATTTCACCCAAATTCATGCTCCTTTTGACTCACATATGGATATTCGCCAGATTGATGTTGCTGCATTGCACATAACAGTCTCTTTCCTAAAACTGATAGTTTGTTTTGCAGGCCAACGACTGTGCAATACAATGTTTTCCAAAGCAGCATGTAAGTAAGTAATAGATGTTGCAGAAGAAGTGGGTCTTCTGGCTTTTTGGGCAAGCATGATTGCTTCTAGTGGTAAATGTGTTTAGGTCTAATTTCTATTATAGTACAAACATAATCATGTCTCCTCAGAGGAAAGTCCCATCAAGTTCAGTAAGACTTACTTCTGGGAAAGTGGCCTTTGTTGCCTTCAGGGCTGTAAGCAGAGCAGGGCTCGTTCCATCAGCATCTCCCCTTTCATTGCATAGAAAAGAGTAAGAATTGACATGTAATTGTCTCAATACAGTAATACATAGAGGTTTAGCCAAGAGCAGTTTGTTTCATCTACTTAGCACCATCTGGAAAAACGGTCTATCTGCTTCTGCAGAAAAGGCAAATTTTAAAGGCACAACAGCTGGAATAACTTTTTTGTTTGTTTTGAGACAAAAACATTGTAGGTTTCTGTTGGACTCATTGTCACCTTTTCCCTGTCCTAACAGGAAGCAGAATAAAAAGCATAGTATGTTTGATATATTTACTGTATTTCCTTTAGCACGTGCACTGTCATTGGACAAATGTGGTCCAAAATGGTCCAAATCAGGGGTATTTTTTCAACTTTCAGATGACTACAAGGTGTATTAAAGAGCAGCTATTTACCCCCAAGATGGAACAATACCTCAACAGCCTTCTTATTCTATTTGGCATCGCTAGACTTAAAAAGACAGTGAGTGACTTGAATTTAGGAAAAGGGAAATAGAAACTAGTACTGTCTATTGTATCAGTATACTCCTTCCTGGTGACAAAGGAGAAGGTAAATGAAAGCTGAACTATCCAATGTTTCTCTGAAAACTCCTACCAGAGATGTTGGAAAGAGCTCAGGTAACATCACTGTGCACTACATGTTCTTTTGCAGCTGCTGAACAAGCCACTTCACAGAGCTTCAGGGTGATGTGAAGACTTACCGTGTTTCCCAAAAAATAAGACAGGGTCTTATATAGTATTAATTTTTGCTCCAAAAACCACATTAGGGCTTATTTTCAGGGAATTTTTTTTCATGTACAATAATCTACATTTATTCAAATACAGTCATGTCATCTTCTGGTTGCTGCACAAGGGTGGAGGGTGGGGTTTCACTTAACTAGGGCTTATTTTGGGGGTAGGGCTTATATTACGAGCATCCTGAAAAATCATACTAGGGCTTATTTTCAGGTTAGGTCTTATTTTGGGGAAACAGGGTAAATGATTTTTCTTATGTCAACATACATTCTCAATGGATTTTGGCCATAGTTATTTTGGCTTACCTACCTTCCACCGGGCATACCCATCTGTATTCTCCCCTTTGCATTATTGGTTTGTTTTTTTAATGGAGAATTGGAAAGGAACAAGGGATGTCATGAAGTCTGAATGGAGTGGATCAGAATGTCTCATAAACACTCAGGTCTGGATGTTCCTGCTCTGTATGCCCAATATTTGGTTGTAATGCTGGTTGGGGTCTTCTGCACATGTTTATCTTCTATTTTATACCATTCCTATTAATGTACTGATCTCATGTTGTATGTGACATCTAACTGCCCCACAAGAATAGCATACTTCAAAGCCTGGTCAAATCCCATGAGAGAGAAACACAATAACAATGAACTCTTTCTCTGGATGTGGATTCTTCAGCAGCCCAAATGGCACCGTGTATACACAAGTAGGAGATAGCAGTAGGCTGGAGAAACCTTCAGCGTTTTAGAGCTGTGTGTCTTTTTTTGGGGGGGGGGATCTTGTATTGGAGTACCATGAACAGGACTGCTTCCCAACACAAGGCTCTTGAGGATATAACATGGCCCTTTTTATAACTCTTGCTGCTGCCACCCAACTACAAAGTGGGTGCTTCTAAGTATATATTTAATACTTTGTTTCCAGAGTGTAGTTGTTGCTTTTTAAATAATTGCAGCAGAGGGCAAATACATTATTCACCTCTGAATTTGTAAGCCCAGGTTTATTTTTATAACTGCTATCACAATCCAGTTTGGAGACTGCTTGACCACCTGTGTGATTTTTCTGGTCAGTTTCAAACTTCTGCCACTGAAAAGGACAACCACAGTGGGCAGAGGATCAGGAACAACTTACCCTAGAAGGAAAGGTTGTCATATATTGGTCCATTCCACTTAGGAAAAAGAAGAGTGAGGAGAAGCAAAGAAAATCACACATCGTGTTCTGACGAGAACTTCTCTCTCTTCCATAGTACTGAATCTGAGGGTGATCCACTGAAGCAGAAAAGTGGAAGTATCATGATAGGTAGAAGTACTTCTTCATACAATGCACAATTAGATTGTGGAATTCACTGTCACAGGATGTGGTGATGGCTTTAAAGATGGGTCAGATAAATCCACCAAAGGCTATCAGTGACTACTAGTCCAGATAGCTGTGTATATAACCTCCAATACCAGAGGCTGCTTCCCTCTGTACAGTATATTGGTTGCTGTGTAACATGAGATGGGGAGGGCTTATAACAGTCCCATTGAGAGACCTCCCATAAGCCTCTGGTTATCAATAAAGAGGTCAGGATATTGGATTATGTAGTCCTACAGTCTGATCCCACATAGGTGGTCTTACACTGTTATGTTTCACTGCCAAGCTCCAAACCAGCATTTTTTTACAAAATGCTGTTAGATTTTCAATAACCCTTGTTATTCCACTGGAAAGACTCCTTGATTCCTTTCATTGGGCTGCATCCAGACTCGGAGTAGCCCCACTGGAATAAATTAAATGCAAGTCTCCTTGATTCCAATTAACCCCCCCCCCCTAGCGGGATTCAACTATACCTGGATCCAATCAGTTACTTCCAAAAGCAGCACCTTCAAACAGAGTAAAAAAAAGCAGTTAAAATGTCAATGTGATGGAATATTGCCTTCCTGCCTTCTTTAATTACGTTTCAAATAGTACTTTTGAAGTACCTCCATTTCAGTACACTTCCAAATTTAAAAATAATAATTTAAAACACTGATCACATTCCGGTAGGAAGTTAGCAGCCTGGATCCTACTCATGTTTAAAATAAATAATTATGTACCATCAAGTCAGTTCTGACTTATGACATCCCTTTTCAGTGTTTTCCGAGTAGAAAATACTCAGCATGGTACGCCATTCCCTTCTTCTGGGGGTTCCCTGGGAATGTTTAGCTTCCCTAAGGCCACACGGGCTGGCTGTTCTCCCAGAAGGCACAGTGGGGAATCCCTACTCCCAATTTCTGCCTCTGCAGCAAGATACCTAAACCGCTGAACTAGCCAGCTGGCTACATGTGTTTACTTAGAGGTAATCAGTGTGATCACTCCCTTTCTTGTTAATTCAAGGATATTGGGGGAGAGTGAAGGTATTTGCTTTTCAGGACACAAAATGGCCTTGCAAATCAGAAAAGAATGGTAAGCAAGAAAAGAAAGACCTCCAGCTATCTTTCTAAGGAAGAACTCATTTCACCATTCCACTTTTCTGCATCTTCCCGTCCACATCTGTTGAAGAAATGTTCATGGTTTCCTTCCACACAGGATTTTTTTGTTATTAAAGGCAAGCTGATTTCAAAAGGATAATAATGGCATCTGGGACCCTTCTGTGAGGAGACAGACTGAGTACATCATCAAAGCCTCCCCTGGAGATGTCCAGAATCCTTTCCTCAGGGCAACATTTTCTTGCAAGTGCCATTGTTAAAGAGGAATTTTAGCACTGGGGGGAAAAACAGAATTTTATTTCTCCACAAGATGGCAATATCCTCTCTTCCCTTCTCTGTTCTTCTCCTAGCAGAGTTTAGATGTTTTGACTTTGAAGTCTGCAGCTCGAAACAATGAAGTTGTGTTGCATCCAAACTCATGTTCCAGATCTTTTCCCAGCGTATTTTATTTTCAAGTATAAGCTGTTACAATCTGTACTTTTTGGTTCACATTACAGAACCAGCATGTTCTAGCTTTCTACGTGTTGAGTTTTTTTTTAAAATATTTCCTTGGTCGTTATTCATTTGCTTTAATGGTTCTTTGATGTTCACTCCCTCAAGCCACTTCTGTTTCATTCACTTTCTGATTTTTTTTTTAAAGAGCAAGAGGATAGTTTCTGCTTGCAGCAGGGGCACCTCTTTCCCACCTGTTATATGGGGAGTACGTAACAATACTATTGATATTTTGCCAGTATAACTTTTATATGGAAAATAAACACAGTGCTGTAATTCTTTACACAGCTACTAAATCTGAGCCCTACTCTGTCCACTGGAACTTACTCCCAGGTGAAGGGCTTTTGGATTTAAGAGCGGAACACCTGCATGTACCCCCCAATGAAGTTCTAGCAGCAAAAAGACTTGCAGAATGTTGAAGATTAAACATTATTTTTTGTAGAAGCTGTTGTAGGCAAGGGACAGATATACAGCAGGTTGCCTTGTTTGACAGAGGGATATAAACAAACCTAACTAGCCACAGATGACCAAGGACTAGTTGAACCCACACTGAATACAACCCCTTTCCAACCTAGAGATGCTGGAAATTACTTAAGGATACCCTCACCTTAGCCTAACTCTGGGTAGGTGTGGTAGCTGTGTCCTTGGGAAGAGGCTAGTATCTGGCAGATGGTTTCTCCCTTGCCCCATCCCTTCCCTGCCCCATTTTGCCTCTTCTGTGGACCGACTTTAGCCAGCTGACAAATCTGTCTATGATCAGGATGAAGAAAAGAGTTGCTTTTGCTGGCATAAG